CCTCGACAGGGTTCAGTCCCTACCGGTTACACTGGGGCGTGAACCACGACAGCCTCTCGATGATATCATCGACAAGGCTAAGCCTGATCTGGCACCAGGCACAACAGAGTTCGCCAGACGTTATCGTTTAGATGTGGAAAGAGCCCGTGCGAACTTGTTCAAAGCCCAAAAGGCTATGATTGAACAAGCTAATCGCCACAGGCGGCCTTCCCCCATCCGCACTGGTGATCATGTCTGGGTGGCCAGTTCTGAGCTGTCGAGGGAGGAGGATATCTCCTCCAAGTTGTTGCCACGTTACCTGGGTCCATGGCAGGTCCTAGATACATAGGGCGCTGATCCCTTCGGTCCGTCGTATGTTATCGACGTCCCGTTGCATCTACGTATCTACCCGGTCTTCCATGCATCTAAGCTGCTACCATTCACTCCAGCTGATGCATTCCCAGACCGGCCCCCTCAGTTTGGTCTGCCAATCCCTGGTAAGGGATATGGCATTGACCGGATTGAGGATGAGTGGGGCACATGCCCCGATCGGCAGTATCTTGTCAGGTTTGCTTTCCAGCCTCCTTCTGAGAGCCGGTGGTTCTACAGAAGAGACCTGCTCAAGACAACAAAGTCTATTGTCTTGCGATATGAAGCGGCTCAAAAGGGCAACCTTCCTCGCCATTCACCTCGCCCGCATCCCTAGCTCGGAGGTCCTCGCTCCCGGGGAGGGTAAGCCTGCAATAACTTGCTGATTTCTGTTGCCGAGATTGACTGCGAGGCTGTACACTAACAGGTAGGGTTAGATTCATAATTTTGTTTGGCTGAGGGCTAACCGAGAGACCTGCCTGTAAGGAAATTCGTGAGGGACATATCTGCAAATCTGGGGAAATACAGGCCCAACACTAACCCGAATTCTTACAGCTACCCTAACTGCCTATAGCAGGCCCGGGCTACCCCTAGGACAGACAGGCTCTAAGTGGCCTATGCTGCTAGACGGTCCTATAGCCTATAGCCGGGTCCGGTAGAGGCTGAGACGCCGAAACAGCAACGGTACCGGTCGGTCAGTCAGTCCGGTCTAGGTCTAGAAAGTCTATAGATAGGTTAGGCCCATCGGTTGAGGACTTTTGGCAGTTCATTTCTCGCGAAGCAGCGTTGGAGAAGCCAAGCGAGTTGGTGGCGGTGATGGTCTATAGGCAGCATCCCGAGACTCACCGTTGACAACAGCCATAGCCGGCCCAGTCTGAGTCTGCCACAGCTGGGGCATCCTCAGCGCATCTACCCCTGGGGGTATCTGCGTATGGCCGGGCTGTATTGAGGCTCTACACTGTGTACTCTTGGGTGGTGGCAGCCATAGCTGCCTGTTCCTTCGTCAGAGTTGTCCATTGGCACTGAAGACTTCATCGCAGGACCTGTTCTTCATCAGGGTGGTTGGCGCTGGCCTCCGGGAGGCCGATCTGATGTGGCGGTACTAACTGGGTGTAGGATAGAGAGTGGGGTGTGAGTTCTCAGAGTGGCGAGATACTGGAACAAACTCTGTTACGATAATTGTGTGAGTGGCTCATCATCACTGTCAGTTCAATTGTGATCTTAGCAGGTTCTTTCTTGTGATTGGTTGTTGGGAGTTGTGTCAGAGAGTGAGAAACACTGTGTGTTCTCTCCCCATCTGTGCATGATCATCTTCCGCTGCTTATTTTCACCTGTGTGCAGTTTGGACTCTGTCTCCTCTCTCCCCTTCTCTTATGCATGTATGGGCATGTGTGAGATTGTCTGTGTGTGAGTGGTGATAAAATTCGTCAGACAACCAAGTTCATAACAGCAGAGACAAAAATCAGAAGCAGATGACCGAGAATAGTCAATTCTATAAGACACAGACCGGAAGGACAGGCAACCAAGAAACGGACCATCATGAGGAACTGGCTGCTAAAGGGCAAGGTGGCGACGATAGTTGACAACAGGTTGAGATGGAAGAAAGGGACCAGGCACAACCATGAAGTATGTAAGGTCTCCTGTAGGTTGCCCTGGCACAAGACCAAGAAGGCCCCGAAGGAGGATCAACAACAGGGCAAGCCCAACACACAACGAAGGACAACTGAGCGGACCCCCCCACTCTTCTTATATTGCAGGGACTCATTCGACAGGCTCTGAATAGAAGCCTGAGAGGAACAAGTGGTCAGGGCAAACCGACAATCAATCCTCCTCAAAAGGAGTAATCAATGCTGGTCAGGGGTCCTTCGGCCAGACGGAAGGAAGCGTTGAGTGGGTGAAACAATGTATTCTTTTGACTTGCCGACAGAATAGGAACGTGACTGACGTTCCCCAGAATGGACATGGAGCCAGGACCATAAGGACCTGTTTTACTTTTTTTAAAATTCCGCTTGTTCATCCTCATCTCCCCAGCTATAATTTTGAAATAATTTCACACTGCATACCTGCCCCGAGTCCCGGTTCCAGAGTCCCATATGGGGCACAGTCCCAGTCGATCCTAGTCCCACTAAGTCGCAGTAGGTCAAGTCCCAAGGTTCGGTAGGGTCTCCCAAGGGTCGACGAGTCGAAGGGTCGAAGTGTCGCTGTCCGAAACGTCACAGACCGGTAAGAGACTGCCAGTCCAGTCCAGTCCGAAAGTCCAATTTTGCAGCATCATCCCAAGAAAGTCCGGAGACTTCTGGAACAACAAATTCATACAGCAGACAGGCTGCAGGTGACCGGTACTGGTCCGAACCAGGCAACACAACTCAGCAATAGCTGATTATAGCTGCCACAGTGCCAAGGAATGGTTAGCTGTTCATTCGGAATCATTGCTGGATGCTTCCGCGACAGCGCGGCTTGAGCGGCATGTGACTGTCGGTGGAAGGCCGATGCTTGAGTAGACCATAGCCAGGGTAGAGGAAGGAAGAAGGCGGCCATAGCTGCAGAAGTCGAAGGTGGAGCTACACGGGTGTATTCAGGGCAGATCCAAGTACGGGTAAGGACGAGAGAGAGCAGTAAGGCAAGCAATAGAAGACTTGAGAGCAGATAGGAAGAGAGAGTGAGTGTGGGACAGTCAAACGAAAGAGGGGAGAGGGAGTCAGGTACCTTACCTGTGTCGGGTTGCAGTCGTGGTGTGCGGCTAAAGCCGCCAGATGCTTGATCTCTGTCATTGTATGATATAATAATTGTGAGAAGTCCTTCAGTTCGCTGATCTGATCTGAGTTTCATCTTTCGGCCTAGGCTACCAGAGTGGCCCGGGGTCACTTGCCCGGCTGAATAGGACCCAGCTCTGGCCTATAAGGAAAGGCTGGGACAGGTCACGGGGTCATTCAGACACAGGATGCTGCCAGGCTGCAAGAACGGGTCAAGGGGTCAATGCTGCGCTGCAGGTCAAGGGGTCAATGCCGCGCTGCAGGTCAAGGGGTCAATGCCACGCTGCAGGATGCTGGCAGGTCAA